TTTATCTTATTCTTTTTTCTTTTTATATCACTATTATTATTTTATATTTTATGGAATTTTATTTCTTATTATTATTCTTTTCTCTCATTCCTTTGTTATCATCTTTTCTTTTTCTTTTAATTTTTTTTTTAAAATGGTTTGTAAAGTTGTTTTAATAACACTTTATTTCTTCTTGTTTTTTTTTATTTGTATCTTTTTATTTTAATCCTTTTGTAACTTTTATTTTGTCAAAAATTGATTGTAAAACAACGTTCATTTAGATGGTTAGTTTTGTATTTATTTATTTTGATTTTCTTTTTTTCTTTAATTTGAAGATTCTTTATCTATTAAACATTTTCTCTCTTTATTTTTAATAAATTATTAGTATATTCTATTAATAGTAAGAGTATCTTTTGAATAATCTTTTTTTTTATTTTAATTTTTTTTATCAAATTTATTCTTTTATTCTAGTCTTATATGACTCAGTGATAGAAGTAGAGTGTGTTGAAGAAACTGAAGTAATTACTTCTCGATATGAAGAAAATTCAATTGAGGTACAATAATTAGTTGGTTTTTTTTCCTTTTGTTGTAGTTCTTATTTGTGGAGGTTACTTCTTGATTTGTTAAGTTTATTTGTTATTACAGTATTTTATTGTTTTTTATTTTTATATTTTTTATTATTATTTTTACGATTTTCTTTTTCTCAGATAAGTTAAAGAAGTGTACAAGTATTGTTTATTGGTTGTTAAGAAACTCAAAAGCAAAAAAAGGAATAATGATATAATGATTGATCTTTAAATGAACCAAAAAACAAAAGAAATAACAAATAATATAGTGGTATAATAGAGAAAAAAATATTGGAAAGAAAGAAATAATAAGACAAATGAATGTAAATTGAGTTAATTAAAGATAACAATAAATAAACTAATTTTAAATTATTTATAAAGAATTTTAGATTTGAATATATGTGTGTTTGGTAGTTCAAGCTGAACTAACTAAAAGAACTAAAAATTATCCTTCAAATATGGACATAACTGAAAATGAATTTACTATCTTTGAAGTAACACCTGATCCTAATGAATTAAATAAAAAAAGAATCAAAGAAATAGAAGGAGGAAAAGTGAGTATTAAAGAATTATTTCGGTATGCAGGAGTATTTGAGATAACATTATTAATAATTGGAATAATAGGTTCAATAGGGGTTGGATGTTTAAATCCATTAATAATGATATTAACAGGAGATGTAGTTGATACATTTGTTAACGGAGAAAATTTTTCAAAAGAAGGAGGAAATCTTAAAATAACAACAGAAGAAATGAATTATGAAATAATGAATAATATTTCAGATACAATAAATAAATTAGTATTAAAAATGTTATATTTTGCTATAGGAAATATGGTTGCGGGATTTTTACAAACCATATGTTTTTTTGTTTTATCTGAATATCAAGGAATAAAAATTAGATCATTATATTTTAAAGCTTTATTAAGACAAGATCCTGGATGGTTTGATTGTCATAAAACTGGTGAACTTACTTCAAAAATTATAAACGATATTCAAAGAGTTCAAGATGGAATGTCCTTAAAATTTGGAAGACTTTTTCAAACATTTTCTTCATTTCTTACAGGATACCTTGTAGGATTTATTAAATGTTGGGATCTTACTTTAGTTATTCTTTGTATGTTTCCTTTTATAATGATATCAATGATGGGTTTAGGAATGTCTGCTGGAATTTTTACAATAAAAAGCCATAAACCATTCAGTGAAGCATGTTCTATCGCTGAACAAACAATAGGAAATATTAGAACAGTCCAATCATTAAACCAAGAATTTAATTTTTGTGAAATGTATAATAATAAAATTATGGAAACAGATACATGGAATATTAAAAAAAGTATTGGAATTGGAACTGGACTTGGTTGTATGATGTTTTTTATTATGTCTTCTAATGCACTTGGAAGTTGGTATGGTAATTTTGTTGTTAGAGGTAAAGGCGGAACTGATAATGTAAAAGCTGGCACTGTTCTTGTTGTTTTTATGTCTGTCCTTTTTGCTACTCAATCATTGTCTCAAATATCTACACCAATAAATATACTAAATGGTGCTAAAGTCGCTGCATTTAATGTTTATCAAACAATTGATAGAATACCAGATATTGATTGCCAATCTACACTTGGTGAATGTCCTAATGAATGTAATGGGAATATTAAATTTGAGGATGTTCAATTTGTTTATCCAACAAGACCATCTCATCAAGTATTAAAAGGACTTGATCTTGAAATTAAGAAAGGAGAAACAATTGCATTAGTTGGAACATCAGGATGTGGGAAATCAACTACCATTCAATTAATTCAAAGAAATTATGATCCAAATAGTGGAAAAATAACAATAGATGGAAAAGATATAAGAGAATTAAATATTAAATGGTTAAGAAATCAAATAGGAATAGTTGGACAAGAACCAATATTATTTGCAGGAACAATTCGAGAAAATATTATACTTGGAACAAGAGAAGGAGAAACATTAAATGAAGAAGAAATGATTAAATGTGCTAAAATGGCAAATGCACATGATTTCATTTCTAAACTCCCAGATGGATATGATACAATAATTGGAGAAAAAGGAGCATTATTATCAGGAGGACAGAAACAAAGAATTGCTATTGCACGTGCATTAATTAGAAAACCATCTATTCTTCTTCTTGATGAAGCTACATCAGCACTTGATACACAAAGTGAAAAAATAGTACAAGAAGCACTTGACAAAGCATCAAAAGGAAGAACAACAATTATTGTAGCACATAGGTTAACAACTGTTAGAAATGCAGATAAAATATGTGTATTTCATCAAGGAGAAATTATAGAACAAGGAACACATCAAGAATTAATGGAATTAAAAGGAACATATTATGGATTAGTTAAAAGACAAAGTATGGAAGAAGAAGTTGATCAAGAAACAGTTGAAAATGATTTAAAGAAATTTAGAGAAGAAGAAGAAGAAGATAAAGAAATAGAAAACATCTCACTTGAACAAACAAACGCTCATGAAGAAAATATTATAGCCCAACAAATCCAACAAAAATACAAAGAAGAACAAAAAAAATTAAAACACTCAAATAGGTTTGTATTATTTAGAGTGATTTGGAATAACTATAGGCATGAGTATATCTTTTGCACGTTGGGTTTGATTGGAGGGATAGGTGCAGGTGCAGCTTTTCCATTTTATTCTCTTAATTTTGTTGATTTGATTCGTATTTTAATGAGACTTCACCCAGGAATAAATCTAACGGATGAACAAGCAAACAGTATTTTAAGAAGTTGTATGATAATACTTTGCATTGGAGTTATCACTTTGGTTTCTTTCTTTTGTTATGTTGGTTTGTTTATGGCAGCAGGAGAAAAGATGATTGGAAGAATACGACGAAGATTTTATAATTCTATTATACATCAAAATATTTCATGGTTTGACCGAAGAGAAAATATGGTTGGTGCTGTAACAACAAAACTTACATCTGACCCAACATCTTTACAAGGAATTTCTGCAGAACGTGTTGGTGATATAATAGAAATAATGTCAACAGTTAGCTTTGGATTTGGCATTGGATTATACTTTTCATGGAAATTATCATTATGCATATTAGCAGTCTTCCCAATTATTTCATTCTTTATGTTTATTAACGGTCAACTCAATTCAAAGAATGCAGCTCCAGCAAAGGCCGCATATGAACAGTGTGGAGTTACTTTAGTAGAAACTGTTGAAGCAATGAAAACAGTACAGTCATTAGGAAAAGAAGATTACTTCTCACAAAAATATAACAACGACCTTCAAATCCCTAAAAGAGGAATCCTAAAGTGGGGGCCATTACTTTCTATAACTAATGCAATTACTAACTTACTAACTTTTTCTGTTAATGCTTATGGGTATTACCTTGGAATTTATTTCATGAAGAAAATTATCAATTATAAACAAGATGTTCCAAATTTTGTAGACGAAGTTATTGATACTTTCAGTGATATTCAAAGGGCATTAATGGCTATCAACAGTGCCACAACATCTTTTGCTCAAATAGGAAATGTCCTTCCCGATGTTGGAAAAGCTGTTGGAGCGGCTAAGAGTATTTACAATGTTATTGATAGAAAACCAACGATCGATTGTTATAGTGAAGAAGGTGAGACATTTAATGATATAAAAGGTGAAATTGAGTTCAAAAATGTTCATTTCAGATATCCAACAAGAGTTGATAATGAAGTATTAAAAGGTATTTCATTTAAAGCAGAACAAGGAAAAACAATTGCATTAGTTGGAGTATCAGGATGTGGTAAATCAACATCAATTCAATTAATTGAAAGATTTTATGAACCAACAAATGGGGAAGTATTATTAGATGGACATAATATAAAGGATTTAAACATTCAGTTCTTAAGAAATCAAATAGGATTAGTTGGACAAGAACCAGTGTTATTTGCTGAAAGTATTATTGATAATATTAAAAGAGGTATTCCTAAAGGTGTTGAAGTAAATAATGAACAAATTTATACTGCTGCTAAAATGGCAAATGCACATGATTTCATTTCAACAATGCCAGAAGGATATAACACAATGGTAGGAGATAGAGGAAGTCAATTATCAGGAGGACAAAAACAAAGAATTGCTATTGCACGTGCATTAATTAGAAATCCAAAAGTATTATTACTTGATGAAGCTACATCAGCACTTGATTCAGAAAGTGAAAAAATAGTACAAGAAGCACTTGACAAAGCATCAAAAGGAAGAACAACAATTGTTATTGCACATAGATTATCAACTATTCAAAACGCAGATAAAATATGTGTTATTATGAGAGGAAAGATTGTAGAACAAGGAACACATCAAGAATTAATAGAATTGAAAGGATTTTATTATACACTTGCTATGCAACAATTTGGAACAATGAATTAATTCAAGTAAATAAGAAAGAAATTTCAAATAGTACTAATTAATTATAGTAAATTTTATTCGTTAATTAATAGTTTATAAGCCAAAAAAAAAAGAATTATATTTAAAAGAAGAATTTAATATAATAAAAATAAACCATCTAATCAACTGGACATTAAAGAAACTTATTGTATTCAAAAGAAATAATAAAAATATTAAACAAATAAAATGAACTATTTTACAAATAATTAAAATAAAATAGAAAAAAATGAACCAAAAAAAACTTTTAATGTAATATAAGGAAAACAAAAAGAGTTGGAAACAAAAACATTTAGAAACTTGAAGTATTTTTAAAATCCTTTCAAAGCTCTTTTAACCGCTTTTTTGACTAATTTTTTATTAGTTTTAAGAGAAGAAGTTTGAGAAATAATTGAATCAACTTCATCAAATTTACTTTCTAATTTAGTTTGTCTAATCATCATTCTACGATAATGTTCAGGGACTTTATTCATAATAGTTTTTAAAACACTTTTAATACGAGACTTTTTCATTTCTAAAACAGCGATCTGACCTCTCATTTCTATAATTTTTTCTGAAATTTCAGTTTTAGCTTCTGGGAGTGCATTTTCTAAATCAAGTTGTGCGTGGTCAAGTTTATCATAAATGTGTCTCTTCTGATCATCAATTTCATCTAATTTACTTGATAATAGCTCTAGTTTTCCTTTTATTTGATATAATTTTCCTACCCATGCACCATTAACACTAACATCAGCACTTACTAAAGCAATAATCAAAAATATAAATATACTTTTCATTTTAAAAATGTTTTTTTCAGTTCTTTTTCAGTTTGTAAAAATCAACCAATTTTTTTTATTTTTCATTTTCTTAATTTAAACTTTTAATTGTTGGATTTTTCAAAACAAAAAATTAAAAGTATTCTTTAATATAATTTCTTTCTTTTGTTTTATTTACAAAAAAAAACGAGAGTAAACCAAATTATTTTATATTAACCCTTAATTCTTTTATAGAAATAATTATTTTTGTAATTTGGCTTCACAAATTTCATTGAATTTTTACTGTACTAGTTTTAGTTTATTTAACTAATTCTTTTCCACACTTTCTAACTGATCAATAAATTAAAGAATTCTTTATATTTACTTAAGCCAATGAATAAGATCTAAATCGTCTCCTTGTTTGTTATTTATTTCATTTTTTAATTCTAGTTAGTTAATTTTTTCTATACATTTTATATATTGTATTTTTATTTATTTTTTATTTCCATTCTTGTGTCGTTAAATTACTGTAAACTTTTCTATTATTATTAAATTTAATTAAAGTTATTGTTGTACAAGTAGTACACTTCTTTATTTTTTACAATGGTTAATGTTACAAATAATACAA